AAAAAATATATTGTTAGTTAGCTGGTTGGGAGTTAGCAAAGCTAACATTTTGGTTAGCTGTGCCCACGACTGCTGAGGGTCATCCCTAACACAAGAGGATGTGCTGCTTCTTCCTGTTGTTTAATCGTCCCACCCTGGACATAAAACCTTAACAGCATAAAATCAATATGACATCATCGATGAAAACTTCTGACTCTTAACAGTAAAAAAAAAATAAATAAATTTTTATTCACTTGGGCTTTTTTTTAATCAATATGCAACTTAAAATTTTTAAAAAGCAAAAAGCACACAAGGAATAAATTTTCCATAAATCTAAGATTGAAAACAAACACCCAGAGAGCTGACCTTGTTTCTCACTGTTAGCATAACATTATAGACATTTTCTGATGACTGTGTGGGAGAATGGGCCGAAGTGCAAGAAACAGCTGCTCAAACTGTAGCTTGGCTTCACTTTATGACTGACTTTTTGTTTAATAAAACTTTGGCGTGCAGGGTTACGTGGTTGTGGGTGAAACGCTCCGTCTCAACTCTGGAGTTATATAATACAGCTGATGTTTAACCCGGTGGTCTCAACTCTTTGCATGTCCTAAAGAAAAGGAGTGTCAGAATCCATGTTTGTAAAATCTTCCACTGGATGAAAAAAAAAACAATCTAAGGAAGCCTTCAGACTGAGTTGAATGACTTCATCAGTCTGACATCCTGCGCAGCACGTTGGCGACAGTGGAATGAAAACAACTCTACTTTTAGAAACTCTAGGATCCACAAGTAAACCCGCAGTCTGACAGCAAAGCGCGTCATTCTATTCTGTTTGACACAAAGCCAAAGGAGAGAAGCTGATGCAGACTGAGTCGTCTTAGCGGTTAGCAATTAGCTATTAGCTTCCATTAAATTTTACGTGTTTTGTGTCAGCTTTAGCTAATTCATATAGTTAATTTTATTTTTACAAGTTTAGCCGTTTAGATTTAGTATAGCTATAATTTTAGCAGATTCTGAAAGCTTAAAGTTAGCAAGACCTAATTTAATAAAAGCTAATCAGTGTGCTAACAGTTCTCAAAGTTAATAAAAAAGCTTATCCGCTAAATGAAACATTAGTTTTTTTATTAGCTGTTAGCTGATTAGCGTAACCATTCTCACCACTGGGTATCAACAATACCTAGTTTTAACTGTTTATACCTGTGTTAGTTGGCTGTTTGCTGGTTTAAAGTCTGCAAAACACTGTTTACCAGAAGATAATTTGTCTGTTTACTTTTTCAAAATTAGCAAAAAAGTTCATCCGCTAAATTAAACATTAGTTCTGCTATTAGCTATTAACTGTTTAGTGTAACTATTCCCACCACTGGGTATCGACTATAYCTGCATTAGTTTGCTGTTAGCTGGCTTAAAGTCTGCAAAACTCTGTATAGAGGACACTAATTGGTCCGCTAATGTTTTTCAAAGTTAGCGAAAAAGCTAATCCRCTGAACTAAACATTAGTTCTGCTATTAACTGTTAGCTCTTTGCTGGCTTAAAATCGGCAAAATCCTGTTTAGCAGAAGCTAATTCATCTTCTAATATTTTTCGAAGTTAGTGAAATAGCTAATCCACTAAACTAAACAGTTCTTTTATTAGCCGTTAGCTAGTTTGCGTAACCATTCCCATCATTGGTTATTGACTATGGGTGTGTCCAAAACGACAGGCCGGGTCCTCCGGAGGACCCGGCCTGTCGTTTTGGACACAGCCGTAGTTTCTTGAATCAGCTAACAGCTAAAAGCAGAAATAAATTTTCGTTTACAAATTTTGCATTTCTACTAACTGTGAAAACTGTTAGCAAATTGATTAGCTTCCGCTAATTTAGGTTTTAGCCAATATGAAGTCTGATAACGGCTAACTAGCACAGGTATAAGTTGGTGCACTGTATTCTATACCCAGTGGCGGGCATGGGTCCACTAATCATTGAACAGTGAAACAAAGTTTTAGTTTAGGGGATGAGCTCTTTCACCAGACCGAGCGACCGTCGTTTTAGCAGTTAGAGATTAGGTGTTAGTGTTAGCTTTTGGTTGTTTTGCAGTTTAGCGTTTGATTCTGCTATTTCAAAAAGAAAACATGTTTAGCGATGCAGTGTTAAGGGCTCGACACACGGGCAGNAATTTGGACGGTCTAGCCTCCCCTCCTTACCCCGGCGTACGTCATGTCACCTAGCAACTGTGACGACGCTAAACAAGCAAACTTAAATCAAAACTAGAAAAATATCAATACATTAGCGTTATTAATATCACAAAACTATAAAATTAACTTAAAGGTGACATTTGAAGAACTAATTGACCCACTGTAGGTTCATGTTTATTTCGCGTTTTTTATGACAAAAATAATATTTAAAAACATGACCACACAAATGATAAAAGTATTAGCATTACAACTGCTAACATTTTTTAATTTTTATATCGCAATATTTTTATTTAAAACGTATTCTTTTCTCTCGCTTCCGCCTACTAGCATTAAAAAAGTCTCCGGTCGGGCCGCAATGCATTATGGGATAYGCTGGGCCGGGAAGGATCCATCAGACCTGTCCTTCGATTCGGGCCAAAGGAAGGACGTATTTGTCGGCCGCATCGGAGGAGTCTTCGGTTTTGGACGGCCTTCGTCACGGCGTTGTGACGTATGCGGCCGACGAATTCGGCCTTCGGAGGACCTGTCCTGCCATTTTGGACACAGCCAATACCTCGTCTTTAACAATTTATACCTGTTTTAGTTAGCTGTTCGCTGGCTTAAAGTCTGCAAAATCCTGTTTAGTGGAAGCTAATTAGTCCGCTAACATTTTTTAAAGTTAGTGAAAAAGCTAATCCGCTAAACTAAACATTAGTTCTGCTATTAGCTGTTTAGAGTAACCAATCCCACCACTGGGTATCGAATATACCTAGTCTTCAACAATTCAAACCTGTGTTTGTTCACTAGCCTAAAGTCTGCAAAATCCTATTTAGTGGAAGCTAGTTGGTCAGCTAACATTTTTTTTAAATTAGCAAATAAGCTAATCTGCTAAATGAAACATTAGCTGTCTTATTAGCTGTTAGCAGACTAGCTGGTTCATTTGGATGTGGAGGAGCAGTATCTCTACTTCCAGTTTACTTTGCAGAAAACTTGTTTAACTGCCTGTTTGTTCGATCTTATTAATTATTTCACTACCCGGAGTTCATGAGCAGAGAGCTTCACCTTTCAGCTCCAGCACAGAATCCATAAAACTGCAGCAGCTGCACCGATCTGTCTGTCGATCGTTCATTCTGAGAAACTCCTCCTTACAGGAGTTCAAGAGAGGAAATTTAAAAAAAAAATCAAGCCATCATTCTGTATTTCTCAGGCTGAGGTGCGTAAAAACCTGCGAGTTAGATGGAAATAAGTCCTGCTCCAGTTCTGACGCCCGCTCCGCTGAGAGCGGCGAGTTCCCACCGAGTCAATAAGATCCATAACGCCTCGTTCTGCTGCCATCTGGGCCGCCAGCGAGCAAGTGAACGAGAGGCTAAGTGGCTTTCAACACCTTCCTCATCCACTACATCAGCTCAGCAGCAGGCAACTCAGCTTGTAATGATTTAGCTGTTGGCCTAAAAGATGCTTTCACTTATCGAGGATTAGATTACAGCGCTCGCTGTTTGATCACCAACAGTCGGCTACACTCGAGTCGACGTTACCTGCAGCTGATTCCATCCTGGAGCGTCGAAAAAAATAACACGTAAAAGTGCTGAAGAGTGCAGAAACCAGAGAGGAGCAGGAAGAAGAGCCAGTGGTTGAAGGAATGTTGACGAGTTCATCAACTTCCTGTATGAGAAGAGACACGTCTTTTCTCTGCTCTTCAGTCTGGCCACGCCCACTTACACCTGTTCTCTGTTCCATTGAGCTCAGCCGCCTCCCATCCCCTCATCAGCCCGAGTCCGTCCGTCCCCTCAGTCTTCATCCACACCTCAATGGAGCAATATGTCTTCACACCAGCAGCGAAATGCTAACATTAGCACAACTGTAGGTAAAAGCTAAAATTAGCAACTAAATATAGTATAACTGTAGATAAAAGCTAAAAATAGCAACTAAAATTAGCACAACTATAGGTAAAAGCTAAACAGCACAGCTGTAGATAGTTTAAATTCGCACAACTGATGCTAAAAGCTAAAACTAGCAGCTAAGTTTAGCACAACTGTAGAAAAATGCTTAAATTAGCACAATTTGTGGTAAATAGGATAATTGTTAAGAACAAATATTAGCACACTAATAGCAAAAATCTGAAAATAGCAAACTTGTGGAGTGGTTAGTAGCTAAATTTAGCATACTATAGATAAAAGCCGAAATTCGCAGAACCAGAGGCAAATAAGACAACTGTAAAATATTAGCACACCAATAGCAAGAAGCTAAATATAACAGCTAAATTTAGCATAACTGTAGATAAAAGCTAAAAATAGCAACTAAAATTAGCACAACTGTAGGTAAAAGCTAAACAGCACAGCTGTAGATAGTTTAAATTAGCACAACCGAAGCTAAAAGCTAAAACTAGCAGCTAAGTTTAGCACAACTGTAGAAAAATGCTTAAATTAGCACAATTTGTGGTAAATAGGATAATGTTTAAGAACAAATATTAGCACACTAATAGCAAAAATCTGAAAATAGCAAACTTGTGGAGTGGTTAGTAGCTAAATTTGGCATACTATAGATAAAAGCCTAAATTCGCAGAACCA